CCATGGGAATCCAGCAGTATTATAGAATTCCTGTTGAGTGTGATTTTGTAACACAACAAAAATTAGGTATAATTTTGCTATTGCTATAAACAAATATAAGTTGTAATAACGAGTACTTTTATGGTTAAAATTTATCTTACCTTTTTGACGTTACACTCAAATATGGTCTCATTAAATTAATCAATTCATTCACAACACCTTTGCTCAGAAATCTATAGTCAAATTCGTAATTATTGATCTTCGCCATGTAATTCAGACGATCTTTATTTTCCTAACCATATGATATCGGCCTCACTATCACTATCTGCATCACAATCCATTATCATTTGAAATAATTCCATATCACTATCATCACTGCTACAATATGCCAATATGAAGAGAAACAATTATTAAATTATAGCGATTTACTTTCGAAAGATAAACATGTAACCGGCCGATTTTGACAGATAAGCGAATGCCCATACTAGAGATAGCGCCGCCTACCGGAGAGTTACTTAAAACTCATATTGAAACGGAAGTAAGCACGATTTGTATGAGCGTTCTATCTTTAGCAGGCTATCCGTCCTCCCGACGATGGATAGATAAATCCGATAGGAACTGCTGCCCGTCGATAGGTTATTGGAACGTAAGTAAGGACAAAAATATAGATTTGTCTATCTTTAGTAACCGAAACTAGGGATAGATAGGTTATTGAAAACGGCCGTAAGACATCTACTAAGTGTTCCCTTACTGAATGTACACGTACTGTCACAAATAGAGAGAGATGGAGAAGTCTCTCAAAAGCCGCAACAAAGCATTAAGACATACGTACCCACGACCACTCCGCCAGGAGTGTACGACCGAGAAGAAGAAGTAACATAACGACCTTTGACCTTTCAAACAAATCATCAAAATAATTAGCAGCCAAAAAGAAAGCCGCCGCGGTAATGAAACGCGTTAAAACGCCCTTAGCTTTAATTCAATTAAACATGTCATCTGTTTGACATTGGGGTCGTTATAAAAAAAATATTCTACGTAAATTCATTTTAGATTCGAAGTACAAAATATTTTTGTGTGTACTTGGAAATTTTAACGTTCCTTTGTGGGTATGAGCGTGTATTTATTAAAGTTAACACCTTTTAATTGAATCATCATCATCATCATCATCATCAGCCTTTATCTGCCCACTGCTGGACATAGGCCTTCCCCAATGCCTTCCACATAATGCGGTCCTCCGCCTTCCGCATCCAACGACTTCCCGCTGTGCGCACTAAGTCGTCAGTCCACCTGGTTGGAGGACGCCCCACGCTTCTTGTACTCATCCGTGGCCTCCATTCGAAGACTTTCCTCCCCCACCTGGCGTCGCTGGCTCGACAGATGTGACCGGCCCATTGCCACTTCAGCCTGCTAACTTTGAATAAAAAATTATAAATACATATGTGTTTGGGACGACGGCGACTGTTTACCATTCCGTCTGCAGGATCGGGTATGTAGTTACCGGTGGCCACGACAAGAGGGTCGCGTCCACGGATCCATCAAATCCAATAGCCTTTGCATTAGACGCCTTCAGCTCTAGCACTAGGAGCAGGCTTAGGGACCCCGGTAACCGTACTCGTCTAACTCGACAAAGAGTTTGACGTGCAACCTAACATCTAGGATCTCCTCAGCGGGTCGCGATTCCGATCCGGTAGTAGATTCCTTCGCGAAGCAGCTGCTCTTGAGTTGTTAGTTCTCCTTTGGAGGCGCTCGGGCATCTGTTGGCAAATCCCACCCCTCCTGACTGAGTCTTTGCTCGCCCACATGTCCTGGTGCAACTGGAAAGACCGCCGGGCCACCAGTAATCCTTCAATCTTAAAAAAAAAGAAGTCGATAGAAATTCTATACCGAGTTGTGTTTGGCGGGAAAGGGAAAGAAATAGAGACAAGGCACTCTCTCTCCCTCTTCAACCATTAAAACAAACCACACAAACAGAAAAACAAGATGGTTTTCGTGTCACGCCCCTTTCTCGAAATGCACACTAATGCCGATTGTAAATACTTGCTAATGGGATCCAATTCCAGGTCTCCGTGAAGATCCACGTTCCACACGAACCACGGGGCTCCGACGGCTATCCTGCAAAAACGGAATTGAATGACTTGAAGGGGTTTCTAATTAGTGCGGGCCGCGTGAGCGAACACTACACTTGCATAGGTCATGACGGGGCGCATGCAAGTTTTGTAGAGTGTCACCTTATTATGAAGGGACAATTTACATTGCTTGCAGATCATCGGATAGACAATTAAATGCTTAGCTTTTTTTTCATACAAATAGAAAACCAACTTCTGTAACTTAATACATATCTTTACGATTTTGAAAATAGCGCCAAACAGATTCTTAGACTTAGCCAATAGTTCAGCTTTTTTATATTCATGTAGTAATTTTCTAAAATTAAATTATCTCATGCCGAGGGATCTTACGTGAATGTTTTCGGTTAGTCAGCCTTTTGTGGTTCATAGATTAATGTTGTGACACCAAATAATTTGTGAACAGGCATCCTTTGCACCGAAAGTATTGTTAAAAACCGCACGAGATAATGCTAATAAATAACTACAATAACAAGGGACGCCATCTAGTGGAGAGCAGACGAACTGCATAGAACGATTTTTTTTCTACCTATGCTGATAGCCTTGAGAAGCTATTTCAGTTTCGCCCTAACATGTAGGTGAGCTCACGGGGTTCAATCCGGAATGTTGCTAACATTGGTCTTAGTAAGAGCAGTGCTTCGCAGAATCTACCACCGGATCGGAAACCCAACCCACTGAGAAGATCCGGCGAGAAACTCAGTGGGCTGTGTCTATGGGTTAACAGAACGATCGACATTATACTAGATTGAACGCGTGTCGCGCGAAGAACATACATTGAAAACGTTAGAAAGTCCTAGGGTCAAGCTCTGCCCCTGGCATTGCTGAAGTCCATGGGCGACGGTAGCAACTCACCATCAGATGGGCCTTATGCTCGTCTGCCTACAAGGGTAATAAAAAAAAAATCGTAAATAAGCATGAACCAAAATGAAGATAAGGAAGAAACGGGGAAAGGGAAATGCGTATTAGTTCTAGTGAGTACGAAGCAATATCTTGCGCTTTTGATCTGATGTCCGAACATGTTAATAAATGCCTTTTTTTTTTTTTTTCTTAGAAGAGTGGACGAGCTCACAGCCCACCTGGTGTTAAGTGGTTACTGGAGTCCATAGACATCTACAACGTAAATGCGCCACCCACCTTGAGATATAAGTTCTAAGGTCTCAGTATAGTTACAACGGCTGCCCCACCCTTCAAACCGAAACGCATTACTGCTTCACGGCTGAAATAAGCAGGGAGATGGTACCTACCCGTGCGGACTCACCAGAGGTCCTACCACCAGTATTTACGCAAATTATAATTTTTTGACCTTTTCAATATTTTCCCCAAATTTTAGACCTAAAATGACATATGCGTTAAAATTGCGCCGATATTAAGTTACGCATTGGTGTGACGGTCGTCCGTTTTAATTTGCTATCCAAGAGTTCATTTGAGGTCAGCTGGTCTCCATTTAGGATAGGGTCGGACATTACCAAAGGGAGCACTCTCCTTTTAACGTCGTTCCGCCATACACTGGTTGTGTGGCATAATTGCTGGTTATTTGTGGCCATACACACCCTTATTTTGGTAGGGTCGTTAGTTTTAATTTTATGAATTTCGGTGCTCTTTGTGTGGTCTTCGGTATCGATGTTTTGGGTCCAAGGTTGGCCGTTTGGGCCACAATATCGGCGTAGATTGTAATGTTGATCGATGCTCCATTCAAAGCTGAATTCGGTACAAAAGATTGGTTGCGCTATTGTAGGAAAAAATTGCTATTAAACTTAATGGATATTCTGCATGTAGGGATTTTTGGCTTTAGTTTCTGCAAATTTGAAGCCAACGGGTACCAACTTTTCTAATAAATTACGCACTTAACAAATGTTCACAACTGACTTCCACGGTGAAGTAAACATTATAATTTGCGTAATTCTTCGTGGTAGGACGTCTTGTAAGTCCGCACGGGTAGGTACCACCGCCCTGCCTATTTCTGCCGTGAAGTAGTAATGCGTTTCGGTTTGAAGGGCTTGCAGCTGTTGTACTATTAAAACTGAGACTTGGAACTCATGTCTCAAGACGGGCAGCGACATTAACGTGATTGATGTCTGAGGGCTTCGCCGATCACTTAACATCAAGTGTGATATATGAATCCATATTAGCATTTAAAAATAAATCATTAAAAATAACTCAGTTCCCATTTGAAAGAACAATCATATAATAGAGAACTTCCAAACTAAGGTGAAAAAGAACCCATACTGCGCATGCCAAATATCTCTTCCAAAAAACCGACCTCCGACGTAATATGCAAAAAGGCTTGTTATTGTTAGCGCAAATATCTGAAACTATATCGTGTATGTTTTTTTTTAAAATAAATATCAAATCAAAACATCTTCAGCACTTAATAAAAACGNAAAGAACAATCATATAATAGAGAACTTCCAAACTAAGGTGAAAAAGAACCCATACTGCGCATGCCAAATATCTCTTCCAAAAAACCGACCTCCGACGTAATATGCAAAAAGGCTTGTTATTGTTAGCGCAAATATCTGAAACTATATCGTGTATGTTTTTTTTTAAAATAAATATCAAATCAAAACATCTTCAGCACTTAATAAAAACGCATCGAAAAAAATAAAATCTAAGACTTATTTCTTTTTATTTTTTTTTCTCCGAAAAAATCTCCTTTTAATTTTGGAAGTTCATCACAAACGTCCATTTTACTGAGACATGTTTTACTTAAGAAAAACCTAGCCTTCGTAGTTCCTTTCAATTTGGTAATTGTTTCAGCAGTCCATTTTACAAAGAGACATTTTTCTTAAGTGGATTGTACTTGTGCGAGGTCCAAGTTGTTTAGACGACTTAACAGATTCGCGCTTTCATTTTGTTTGTCGTGCAAAGTTGTTTAAAAGATTTCTCTTTTTGTTCCAGACTTTTGGAGTTCGGCGGGACTAGAGGTGAGTCTTTTTGTACGATTAAACTTAAAAAAATGAGCTTAAATATAAAAGGTACGCAATTATTGGAATGCCTTCGGTCGTGGAAGCCACTCGTTAATGTATTTCAGGTACTTCTGAAACATGAAATACGTGCCGAAATTTTTATTGCACTATTCTTGCTAAACCTTAGTCTATTTGGTGTATTCTTGTGCAAGATTGTAGTGTTTGTGCCATTATTTTGCGTGTATCTTGGAACGTCTCCGCAAGTAGAAGGTTTAAGGGTATCGTAAAAACGTCTTTTACAGGATAAAATTATGCAGTTAGAACATCATTTTGGCTTGCAGCCAAGTTTTGTGGCGGCTTCCCGGGATTAATTTAATCTTAGATAAGTTAACCTATTTTACCTTTTTGCACCAGGGTATGGCCGCATTAAAGGCCCGTTTCGTGGTCACAGAAATCCGGATAATTTTCCATATTGGGACAGCTCAATATCTAAACCAGGCTCTGCCTTAAGAGGATATTTGACTTCTTCGGTTACATTGCCAGAGCGTTGATAATCTTGAAAAATTGATGGTAGCTGGCAAAATTGCTGGTAAAGGTTTCGTGGCCGCAATCCAATGCGCTGGTCCGAACAAACCCGCACCACTCTGGATCCCACAATCGACGATACCATACTCACCGCCGAGAACAGAGGAAGATGGCGAAACATCATCCACAGAAGGATAATGGGAGGAGATGGTTACGACCCTCAGACATAAGGAATGCGAGTTAGGGAGGAGGAGCTCCGCTGACTTCTAGCAACGTTTCGAAGTCTCAAATATCAAATAGAACACAGCTCTATTCATTTAGGGAAACACTAGATGATGACTAGATGATTTTTTTTTTGATAACGCCATCTTGTTGTGTCTTTAAAGCGGTTAGTTGCCCTCAATTAAGAAAAATAGTATTATTATTCGCCAGTAGATGTCGGGAAGAGTTGATTATTGAAAACACGAATAAAACAACATTTTCTGAAAATAAATCGTAGCTAGATCGATTTATCGCCCCCGAAATACCCTGTATACTAAATTTTATGAAAATCGTTGGAGCCGTTTCCGAGATTCAGATTATATATATACAAGAATTGCTCGTTTGAAGGTATAAAGATAAGATAATGAAGATCGAAAATTCTAAGAAACGAGAATCAAAAACATTGTTTAAACAGAATTAAATGAAATTATTTGTCGAAAATACTACAGCGCTGAATCATCGCTGCGACAGCGCGAGTTTTTAGTACGATTTCACGGCCGTCGTTACCCAAGTGACATCAGGAGCGCAAATGAATATTTGAGTATCGTTCTCAGGTTTCATTAGCTGTAGCCTGAATATTTAATGGTCACGGCTGTGTCGGAAGCCTTTGTATTATTTACATTCGTATTGTGCTCGCTATGATGTAGGTTATATTATGATTTTTAGAGAGTGCTCATGGCTTTACGCCGCTGATGTCGTGTTCGCGGGTATTTTTTTACGAAAATCGATAGTTATTTTTTTATTGCTTAGATTGGTGGACGAGCTCAAAGCCCGTTCTGGTGTTAAGTGGTTACTGGAGCCTATAGACATCTATAACGTAAATGTCGCCACCTACCTTGAGATATGAGTTCAAAAGTATACTTACTACGGCTGCCCCACCCTTCAAACCGAAACGCATTACTGTTTCACGGCAGAAATAGGCGCGGTGGTGGTATCTACCCGTGCGGACTCACAAGAGGTCCTACCACCAATTTCGGTCCATTTTCTCTTATTTTTTCCAATTACTTTTAATCGTAGCAACGAATATCATAACTTAGCATAACTTACAATTGTCAATTTTATGATGGATAGAATCAACTGTCTAATCCCATGGGCATTTTACAGAATGGATCCATATACCAAATATTTATGAGATTTTCTAGCTAAAGCTAAAGTTTTCGCGTAAGTTCACCATCGGCCGGCTAATAGCTCTCCAACTCATATTCTATAATTATGGCAAAACAACACATAGATATATGGGTAATTCGTAGACTCCTGAAATATATCCCTAACATTTCCTAAATGTTCGGACGTTTGTCAAGGGTATTGAAATGGTTTTGGTAACGATCCAATTTAGTTCGAAAGCTGAATAGCCTAGTAATCATGTCGGCGATCCAGTCGATACTCAGTGGACGTCTTCCACAAAAACTTCGTTGTTAATAAGCCGATTACAAGGACACGATTCAAAAGGCTCTTTCCAGAGGCTGTTAAAAGACTTTTATCAAGGAATTTGTCGGACCTCTTCTCCTCATCTTTCCCAGGATGCCTTGAGACGGTTGAAGTATGTAAGTATAACGACGAAAGGAAGATCTTCCACTGAGCGGGAGATATTGCTCGGTAGACCGACGGTCGGAATGTTGTTGTTCGGAGCTTGTAATAGCCACTCAGCAAAAATTAAGAAAGCTTGGCTGGGAGGTGTTAATGCATCCGCCGTATAGTACTAACCTTGCACCTTCAGTTTTCCACCTGTTTCGGTCTCTTCAGAATTATGTAGGTAGTGTCAGGTTAACATCGCGAGAGGACTGCCAAACTAATTGGCGCGGCATTTTGATCAGAAGCCCCAAAAATTCTATAGCAATGGGATCATGTCCCTACCTACAAGATTGCAAAAAATTATCGAACAAAATAGTACCTACACATACTTTAGTTAAATGTAAATAAACTATATTAAAAATGTTGTGAATTTTCTTAAAAAAATGCGAAGAAACTTTTTCCCTAATCTTATATAATAATGTATGCTAGCTTATCTTGAAAAGACACCCCTCCTGGCTGAGCCTTTGCTCGCCCAGCTGTTCTGGTGAAACTGGAAAGGCCTCCGGGCCACCAATAATTCTTCAATCATAAAAAAAAATCTCATCTTCAAAATATCGTAACCGAGATTCAAGCGTCTGTTAAACATCTTGCGTTGTATGATAGCTACCCGCCACACAGTACGTTAACCTTTTCCAGTTTTATTGCTAAAGCAATCGATTCATGGGGGAACTGATGGAAAATAAGGCAGGAGAGAACGCACGTTGACTGGCCTATCTGAAATCCGCGCGGACGTAAGGCCGCATGGATGCCTATCACGATTCTGTCTAATTCTGCAAAGAAGCCCTCATTCGTTCCCGTTTTGGGAACGGGACAACCGTTATGTAATGTATTTAGCTACCTCATGTGCCAAACGGCATTTCCTTAGTCCTTAGTTACGTCTGTTAGTTTCCAAATTGTTCTTTTCCAATCGATGATTGTCTGGAAGAGATCGCGAGATCTTAGCGATAAGACCGCCAATTGTACTGTTTTGTATTTAATGTTTCGCATTGTTGGTGTACAATAAAGAATACTATCTCTCTCCCTCTCCCTCTCTTTCTTTCTCTCCTTCTCTCTCTCTCTCTCTCTCTCTCTCTTCTTCTTCTTTCTCTTGCCAAATGCTTTTCTAGAGCTAAAAAAAGAGAACATTTTGCTGGCCAGACTCAGTCTGGTTCGGAGAAACCTGCCAAGAAACCTGAAGAGTACGTGAAGGGTTTACATAAATGTCGAATCGGGTCATGAGTAACATTTTTGAACGAGACGATGTGAACGTGTACAGAGTATAATAGCGATAGAATGAAATAAAGTGGCGAAAAGACTGTGCTTTATCCTCCACATAAGTTGACAAGCTTACCAAAGGACAGTGTTGTGTGTCGTCATCTACTAAAACTACAATTCTATTTTATTTATTGCTTAGACGGGGATGAGCTCACGCCCGGCTACAACGTCTGCCCCACACTTCAAGCCGAAACGCATTATGCTTCACGGCAGAAATAGGCAGGGTGGTGGTCCCAACCGGTGCGGACTCACAAGAGGTCCTAGCACCAGTAATTAGGCAAATTATAATTTGCGGATTTGATTTTTATTACCCAATGTTATTCCTTCACCGCGGAAGTCAATCTTGAACATTTTTTACGTACTCATTTCATTAGAAAAATTGGTATCTGCCTGTAGGATTCAAACACCGGTGCATCGCTAGATACGAATGCATCAGACGTCGTATCCTTTAGACCGTGACGACAATTAATGTTATATCAATAACATTACCTGAGCGCCAAGATTAGTTTATTAATCTGACATTGAGTGGCCACAATCGTGACAAAATTCCCGGCCACACCGACATCTGGTTTGGTACACGTATATTTAGATATAACTAACGTGTTAATTATCAATTGGAAGAATGGCTCTACAAGTTTACTGATTTTGGACCAGAGAGTGACATGAGCAACTCCCACTAAAAATCAACAATTCTCATTTTGAATTACAAATTGAACGAAGGTGAAATCAATGACGCGTCTGGTCTAATAATGTAATAATGCTCTTTGTTATAGTTATTGTAGGAAAGTTTGGAATGTTTATTTCGTTACATTAGCTGACTCAGAAAGAAAGTCACATTAAACATATTAAAATTACTCGTTAAATGACAAAAGTTGTGAGTGAAAGGGCGTTACCACCATTTATCACTGCCGTTAAAACTTTCCAAGAAATGTCTGACTCAGGAGACATCACTCGAATTGTTAGGATGGATTTTGTCATTATGAGTAAACTTTTCCATTAATCTGCAAATTAATTTTGTTTACATAACGATTAAAATCATTTCAAATATCAAAACATTGGTTGAATCCTATGTATACGATGTCGAGCAGCTTGCAAAGGTATCTACTACAAGCACTCAAACTTCTGGATCTTGAGGTAGGAAGCGCTTGATGTTTTCAGCAGATCACGTCTCTAACCAATCCACCGGTTCAATTCCTGTGAACCATCAAAGCGATACGCCTGCACCTCGGAAGCTAGGTAAATCCTAACCGAAAAGACCTCGTCTTTTAATTTTTTTATTGCCTTGTATGCAGACGAGCATACGGCCCACCTGATGGTGAGTGGTTACCGTCGCCCATAGACTTCAGCAATGTCAGGGGCAGAGCCAAGCCGCTACCTACCGCTTAACACTCTCCACAAGCCTCTTT